TTTATGTTAACTTAGCAGTAATCAAATGAGTTTTGATCGGTGTTCGAGTGAATGAATAATTTTCTATTCTATTCTATTCTATTCTCTGATTCATACCTGCCACGTCTACTACGAGAAAGGTGTATACTCACGCAATGTGAATGATTAATTTTTTTCTTTCAATGCGTTGGGCTATTTTTCTGTTACACCATTGTTGTGCAATAGTACAAAAATGAGTATAAATATACCAGCATTGCAATACGCACGACATTCTATTTCAAAACTATCTATTTTACGCAAAATAAAATAAAATAACTCACACACACAAAAATCATGAGTCAACCAACAAAAACTGGCAATGAGAAGGTAAATGTGCTTCGCATGTTGAAAATATCTGCAACCATCTGGAATTTGATATAGGTATTTGGACACGATGATCATAAGCGTGAATATCGACAACAACGATCTGAATTACGTGAATTATATGGTGAACAATTAAAACTCATTGAACAACAATATCCGAACTAACCATCATTCAAGTTATTGAATCTTTTACGAAGACATAATGGAGATGTCGAAAAGGTAAATTCAAACCACATAACAAATAAAATGAGCCCGCAGGGTCCTCCGACGCGGGAGAAAAGGAGGTTGTTCGCTGCTGGTCTTAACCAGCACAACATAAAATACTCACAAAGTGCAGAAGTTCAGAGTTTTTTTGACTTGTGATGAGGTTAATGTTTCTGTTAGGTTTGTGCAATTTTGAAACACCGTTCATCTCGTCACGCAAAATTTGACCAGTTGAACCAAAAATATGGTGAAGAATTAACAAAATTTTTAGAACAAGAATCATCACATTCTTTAGCGTTAGAGATGCCGAAACGACAACGTTTATTACGCTTAATGGAACGTTTCAATGGTAATTGGGACGATGTTCGAAAGAGTTTAAAAAGAATGAATAGTCGACATCAAAATAAAGAACAATTACAAGAACAGTACGCTCAACAAGTAGTCGAGTTAGAACAAGATGGTCTAAATGTTAAATGCCCATGTGTTTATCGTTTATTGCAGAAATATGACGGTGATGTAACTAAGGTAAGATAGTGCCGAAATAAAAGGGTACAACTCCCAGTTAGTTAGTCATACGATCCTTCGTAGTCCCTGATAGAAGCATTTGTCGTGACGAAAATAACGCTTTTATGAGGTGAGTATGTCTGTTTCATCTGTCTGTAAATAGGTTCGCGAACAAATGAAACATCGTTTGGATAAAAAAAGCGATTTCGAAAAGTTGGAAAAAGAATATGAAGAACAACTGAAACAATTGGAATTAGATGGTGTTCATGTTAAAAACAAACGTTTTGTTGTACGTCGTCTCAAAGAATCAAATGGTCAATTAGACATGGTTAAAAGGTTCCTGTTAGAAAAACAAGAACGAGGACAACGAAAAGCTGAAAAGAAACGTGATCATTCATCACCAAAAGAAGGTGAAGAACAAGGATGCAGAAAAGAAAGGAAAATTCGTACGGCCAACATGAGTATTGAGAATTTGGATCATTTGAAACAATTACGTGCAGCTGATATACATGGTAATCCAATGAAAATATTAAAAATATTTCATGAGGAATGTAATGATTCAGTAGAATTAACAGCTGAAATATGTCGGCAACATAAAGAGCAACGGAAGCGTGATCAAAAAGAACGGTTAAAAGTATGTATTTTTAAATCTCAACGATTCGAAACTAAATTTGGGATGATTATATTTGCTTCTGAGACTTTCACAAACGGCACTTGAAGATAGTCTGCGAATATGAGTTGAAAGTTTAGCATTACTGATTGTTGAGGATCTATCCTATTCTCTTGAAACTGAAGAAATAACTGAGGATTCTGACTTGCGATAGCCTGCTTGCAGCGCCACTGGTCCCCGTGGATCATCCATTTGGCTTGTGTTTGTCTGTTGTGATTACTGTCCCTGCTCAAATCAAGACTATTACAATGCTCTCTGGTGGATAAACATAACTACACTTTGATAAATTTAGAAACATGAATTATTAAAAGAAACGCAACAAGCCTATTTAGCCATTACAACTCAACAAGATTGGCCATTAGATATTGAACAAGTTTATTTAGATGGCAATAATATGATGTTTGTGATTGATTCATTACGTCGTTTATGTTTGAATCGTCATGGTAAACAAGCAGAACATGCAATTGGTCAAATAGCATCGGCATGGAATGAAAAGATGTTAATTCCACATATTAATTTAATATATGATTCAACAAAACAATTAGAAACAATCGGCACTGTCATTGTACAAAGTGCACAACCAAAATATAAAACAACAGATGACATGTTAGTTGATCTGACTAAACAAAATCATGGTAGAAATGAACATACGGTTGTTGTTACAAGTGATCGTGCTTTAGCTGCACAGGTAAGTGAGTTGACTAATCCAGAGAAGCTGTGTGTCATCATTGTTTTGTTTGCTTAGTTGAAGAATGAAGGTTGTCAATTGATAAAGCCGTACCATTGGTTTGCACATTGTGTTATGGTATTAACACCTGATCTTATTAAACAAGATCCAATTGAAATAGATACAAGTGTGGAGAGAGCACCAACAGCAAGAAAGTGCGAACATAATAAAAAAGGAAAAATCCATTATGATTTTGATGAATTAGTTAAACGTGTGGGAAATATTTGCATATGAGAAGACACAAAGAACAGAATTTCTCATTTTTTCAGTTAACATGAGACGTATTTAATCAAGAAAAGTGCTTTTGTTTGCTTGACCATGTAAATATATACAGTGAATGAAATATAACTATTCGGATACTGCAGAAAGTTTCTTTTGTGGGCTCAATATCTCGTGGTATAAAAGAGATGAGAAAATTGTTTTTTCAGCGTTAAATGGAGGAGCAAAGTCTGCTCTATATTCCTCTCTACTTGAGAAAATGTTATCTACCTTACATGAGTCTATAATGGCTCTCCTTTAGCACTGAGTCGAGTTTTGGAGCGAAATAAGTGTTCTGACACTGTCCTTTCTCTATGACTTTGATATTTCTCAAATAGCAAATCCATTTTCAACTATACCATTCGAAAGAATAAAGTCTCAGCTGTAGAATGAAAAAATAATAATTAAGAAAAATGTTCTGTGGAGGTGGTCACCAAATTAAAAATTACAAACGCTGTCATGAAATTCACTTAAACTGCATTGTTTGACCCTTAAACTGGAACAAAACTCCGCTCCAAATGCGTCGTTGGAAAGAGCGTAAAACACTACATCAGAAACAATTACTAAGTAATAGGCCATTTCCATGAAATAATTTTGATATACAACAATACAAAAAACCAACTGAAATTACTCTATCTAATAAAAACTATTTATTGCGAAAAATAGGACATAAATAAACGAGAAGTTAGTCAGTAAATCGCTGAAAATATTAGCACAAATAATCGCTATTGATTACATTTTTCGACATTAGTTAAATACAAAAATTAAAAGTTCTATATAATAAATCTGATGAAGAACAATAATCCGATATATTAGCAAAACTAACTCATGAAAATAGTCAATGGAAAATATTGTCTCACTGACGTATCCACATTAATAAGCATCAATCGTGAATTATTGAATAAATATGTTATTGAGATAAATGAGTTGAATTTTTCAATAGAAAATTCATTGACTGCAAAAGAATATGCAAGTCAATGTATTCTATGTAATTAAACATTCTCATTATTTGCACGTCACGAATTGACTTGTGTCGGATGTTTCACAATATTTAGTATTAAAAAAAATTTCACATTTAAATTATTTAACAAAACTTGTATAAATATGTAAAAAGTGTTTAAATGAAAAACACAAAAATTGTTAACAAACATTATTTACACATATTAGTTACACATATTAAACAACTGATTGAATCGAATACAGCTCACAGTGGGCAACTTTGGCTAGGGCAGGGGAACATGAGTCATAAGCTTGACAGGAAAGCCTCTCGGCACTTTTTTTATAGGTTTTCGTATGCGCTCTTTCCAATGGTATGATTTCTAAACTTTGAAAATATCTTTCTACTAGTTTTCTAGAGGCTGGATCTCTGAAATCTTGTACGAACATACTTTCAAAGTTTAGAAATCATGCCATTGACAAGAGCGTATACGAAAAGCTTGAAAAACGGTACTTAGAGGCTTTCTTATCACTTTTATGGCATATATCCACGTGCCAAAGGAAATTTGGTGTCTTTATACGCAAAAATCGTCATATTACACTGGATCGAAACATTTTTTGCCTGTAAATTAGTAAACCTGTACATCATTCGATGCAGTTTATGCGCCGATTTTAAATATATCATTAGTTTTCAACAAAAGTGCTTCTGGATGGACACAAATAAATTTTACTTGGAAAACCAAGGGTTTTTGGAAACCCCATATCTTATTCCAGGCACGTTTGCACTAGTTGGCGCTAGCACTGTAGGTGTATTATGAGTAGAAAAACATTCTGCCAAAATGTCATCGAGTTTGGACCTTAGCTAAAGTTATCGCACTTATTATACTGCGCACACCTTATAGGAAAACACTTAGCGTACAAAGAAATATTGTTGTTTCTAACACCAAAAGGTTCGACCAAATCTTTTTTTACGAATCAATATACCGAAACGTCTAGTTTAAGATTATGTAGAAACGTTTCAGAAATGGTTTTCAGATTCCATCATAACGTTTCTTATCTCTTAGCAGCCAGTTTTCTCAGCTAAATTTTCAGAATACATTTTCCGACTAACTAAGGCACTTGGAACAAAACTTTTATGACATTAGATAGTCCGTATAACAAAGTATATATTGACACTATTTGAATCT